TACACTAATGTGTCAAGTTGCCAGCAGTCGAGGTAGCGACAAAACCGTGAAACGCCACATGCACATTAAACCAACGATCTCGAGAGCCCTTCGCCAATTGGCTGATGAAGGTCATATGGGAATGCGTCTCCTCAGAAAGTTGGACGAGAATTCTCGAGGTGCTAGAAAACAACCGCGAGTGGTTCTAGAAGTGCTCAAAATAGACTCATCATCACATTCGACACGGCAAGTAAAGTGTTTGAATGAAATCGCACCAAGAATCAATGATTTGCGGATCGAAAAACGGGAATCGAACCGTCGACATTGGTTGGGCGTCCAATTTCCATCAGCGATTGCTGAAATTCGCAAGGCATCAGCAGCATCCACTGCTAGCGATGGGATTCATTATTTACTTCGCGCTCCAAAACCAAACAACCTGGTCGAAATTGTCGATAGGCCTTTGAACCGGTTTTGGTGAACCTGCATCTCGGTTGTTATCACACAAATTCACGACGATGTAGACAAAAGGTCAACCAATAGGCATCGTGAGTGAGTAGCCAACACCAACGGCTCTGTGGACGATCTCGTGGAATCGACCTCTTTACCGGTCGTTTTGATACGGTTCGGGGATTCATGACGACAACAGACTGACTTGGACGGTCACTAATGACGCAAATTACGTAATTTACGAAAACACATCTGTTATTCGGCGACGTAACGACTGCGTCATTTTGTAAACCACGCAGCAAATAAAGGTGTGCAGACAGCAATTAATTATAGGCTATTTTTTTCGACGACGCCAGAGTAATGCGTGAACGGATTCTCGATAAAAACGGTTCCCTTGGACTGTGATTTCTGCTAGAATATTGGCAAAACTACAGTAATTCAATAATCTAACCAATCAACCAATTGTCCTTTAGCAATCGCAAACCACCCAATGCCCCCCCTGACCTTCAAATTTCAGAAATTACTTGTCCAATGACACCGCGTCACTATAAAAAGTGAAGCTGTTTTTAGTGAGTCCACGATCAATTATCGAGAATCGAGCAGAATACGCAAATTCATGGTTCGCATCGATTCTGAATTGGCGTTGATTGGGCACTGGAAATGACCTTGAAACAGGATCAGTAATTTGTGGATTAGTTGGTTTAAACGTCCACTGTGTGCCAAGTTTAACGGTTGTGTGGAATGACAAAGTTTTCGGTGTGTGGGGCAATATGGCCATTAGGCAAATTGCAACTGTTTGTACTACAGCGAGCCCTTCACTCAAACATTATGGGTGGGATTTGGAATAAAGTACAGCGGATTTTACTGGCAGTTTTGAGAAACTGTAACGTTCCGCTCAAGGTACATTGTGACGAAAGCACAAAACTTGTGTTTACCTTATTTGCGACAAAATTTGAACGGAAACGACGCAAAGAATGTAAACATCACACAATTTTGGTCATTAAGGCATGTACATCTATGCAGGAATAACAGAGTAGATGATTGCTGCTTACATTCACCGGAAATCGAGGAATGCCGAATATTTTAGATACGTGTCGGCGGAGGTGTCAAAGAGATCTGATGTGAGCTGTCCTTGAACCAATCCCGATTACTGCGCAGTAATTTTTGAACGTTGCTAGCCCATGTGAGCTTTAGCCAGTCCAGAAACAAGGACAACTGTTTTTTCGGAATAAACACTTCACCAAAACGCAATAGCCACGATTCCTTGTGGTCGTAAACTACCCATCATGAAATTTAGGCGAATGATTTCGCCAAAGCACTAGAACAAAAGCGTGTTTTATCAGCCTCTATTTCATTGGGGGTTCAGTTAGCCACCTCAACTTGGCAATCATCAATTTCTACATCCAATTTCTAGTTAAAATTGCTGCTATTTAGCCAGTCTTTGAATTTAATTGCGAAATGCGCGATAACCAATGGCAGAGTCACAAACTAACCCCAGACGTGTCGTCGCCTCCGATGCAAACGCGCTGATAGTCGACGAAACGTCTGCCCGAGGCGCTGTCAATCTCGGAACAGGTGACGTTCACCTTAGAGACGTCCTCGTCGACGCTGAACTGCGTATCAACCAGTTGCTCGTCCAGCGTGAAATCCAGTCCTGTGGACTTTACGACCTTCGGAATGGACTTGCTGGTGCAATTCTCGGGTGAGAGATGAAAACGAACATCCTCGGTGGTTGAGGCTGGAGCCTGCATCTTGGTGGACTGATCGCCGTGCATGGAACTGCAGAAAGCAGTGACCAATCACAAATTTGTTGCCAAGACCAATACTAAGGAGTTTATGTTGTACTTGAGCAATATGGTGGAATCAATTACATATAGGTTTTTGCTGTGAGCCCACAAGACATTTACAAGAAGCAGATACATGGTAACATGAACGATATCAGAAAAAACACTGGTTTATTATGCTGATTACTTAGGAATCATCAAACGGAATCATCACCCTTCCACGTATATATTAATTCCAGCCACATAAATATTGATTCACAAGCCATCATTGACATGTCTCAAGTATTTGTTAAGACAGAATTAAAGTGTACTTTTTCGAAGCCATTCTTAATTGCAATAACAATAACAGATGTGTGGTCCATTTAAAAGCATCACCGAGACATAAGTATCAAGCTCATTTCACCAGACATAAATTTCAAAATAGTGAAGGCAACCTACCGTGACAGTAAATGGTTTCTAATTTCGCTGCGTTCAATTGGGAACTTTGGAACATCGAACTCTTGAGAACAGTTGTGGCGAAGTGCCTCCTCGCTATCACATCCAATGCGATCGAGGCTTTCAGAAATTTCGTCCAGTTCTGTGTCCATTCTGTGTTTGTAAAACATAGATTGTTCAGGAAATTAGGGTTTACCAGCGTCAATTCCAAGCCACTACCATGAACGTTTAACTTCATATTATACCTCACATAATGTAAGCATTCCTAATTTTAGGAGTACGTCCAGTGTTAAATACGACCTCTCAATACGGACATGGAAATGGACTAATTGCGAAGGATTATTTTTTTAATAAAGAAGGGCCTGATTTTTGTGTTGGACACATAACACCGGAAAAATGCATAAAATATGGGAGACTTAAGCATTTGCTGCAAACGATAGCGCCGCACACCAATTTCAAAATTAAGTGACGCTATTAAATTCCAAAAATCTGCAATCGCTAAGTCGAAAGAAAGAAACATGTCGAAAAACCACATGTGCGAACAATTGTGACATCTGTAGTAAATAGGACTGATGGACC